GTAATCGGGAAGCGGAGACCGAGGAGTCTCGCTCCACAAAAGACTAGCCGTGAGTTCAAAGTCATACATTTAAAGTGTCATACACCAATACAAAAATCTTAGTGATATGGAGAGCCATTCTCTGCTCCATCCATACTTATTCCTCCATTTTAGCTATCATGAGTTTGTTGAGTGTATTGTGACAATCCACGAATTTGAAATATAAATCCCAAAATAATTTGCTATTATTGCGAAAAGACATCTTATTTCTGCACGATTGGAAATGGATTTCTTGGATTTTCTTGATATCAAGTGGATTTTCAGTAAATTGCTTCAAAAGGATTTCATTCAATGTCAACTGAGAGCACTTCCAGGCTGTTCTCAGATAGTGAAGGCAAATTTTTTAAGAATAAGCTCCTTTTTCTCAAAAGAGAGCGTTCCGAAAGCCAATGCGATTTTAACATCTTTTCCTGTCCAATTTTAAGCTGAAGCATGGACAGTGCTCTACAACTTTGTATGCTAACCGCTTTCCCTTGAAACATTAATTTGAAGACGAAGTTATTCATAAAACGTAACAGCATAAGTTAGCCTTTATCCGCCAACCGTTTTGCCACTTCACTAACCCTTAGACCCCGACCTACGTATCGTTGGGCTTCATAAAACCTGAAGGAGAACTATTGCGTAGATGTAGAGCATAAATAACCACTTTTATGCTCAGTTGTAACTTATTCACAGATGTTATGATTTGATCTAATACAGCCTTAAAATCACTACTGGCCACCATGTAGGCAACATTTCTGCGACATAAGACTGAACGATTTACTCCTGTTCACCTCAAAAGACGTAGAGAAAAAAAGCCAATATGGAGGAAAGTGGATTTCTGATGTACATATGGAATGCGAGGTTCTATGGACAAGTGCCTAGGCTACGCAACATCAACGGAGATTTAAAATAGCATTATGTTGCAGACCTTTAGTACAAAATTATATTATATTGCCAAAATCATCTCAATTATTTATTTTATTAAATTCAAAGCACCAAACGCCCTAAATATCATTTGCTAATCAACCGTCTTTGACGTGTTTTCAACCTTTAGTGCAGAAGAATTTGCAAAATAAATGATTAAATAATTTTATGGTATTTTCACTATATCAAACTCCTTTATAGCAAAAAATGCATTGTTTATTATTTTTGTTCTTAAACTTTTTGTATTTCGGATAAGAACTGCACCCCATTTACTACGTCTACTCACACTCATTAAAATCCCGGCATCTTAGTTTATATCTTTTAAATATGAACTCTTCATTAATAAACATCTTTGTATTTTCTGGAGAGCTTTAAAATTATTTTGACATGTTCAATAAACAAACAAAAATAAAATAAGAACACTAAAAATTCATGATTTTATCATTACCTTTGGCATGTTTACAGCATTATAAGCCTCAAAACTGAAATTAAAACCGTTAAGATTGAAAGATAGACGTAGCTTAGAGAAAAACTTGAATAAGTATCATTTTGTCTAGGAGCATCTAATAAAAGGTTTCGTGTTTAAACGTAATATTTAAACTACAAAACGGAAAATGGAGCTTTTTAACTCTTTTCTTTATTTTTAGAAAGAAAGCTCTTATTGTGGGTTATGAAAGTCTGTCTTTTTAAAGGATTTTTACTTTTTTAAAACTTGACAACCTGATGCCAAAAAGTTCAAAAATGGGGCAAGTCAGTCACTTCCAGAAGTAATATTTTTCCCCTGATAAGATTTCAAAAAATGAATAATAAATCGCATTATGTTCACTCATTAGGCGACATGCAGATCTAACAAACTTTAAGTTGTCGGAGGTAACACATGCAGGATACAGCACGAATAATGCATTGTTGATTCGAGTAACCTATTAACTCTATTTGGTAAAAAGAGCAAAGTGCTGCAATCACTGCAGCAAGGAAGCAAGTCGATGAACAGCAGGTTAATTTTATTAAAAAATCACCAGTCTGGGCAGCAAAAGCAGATGTGTCTGTTTGGCAAACATTACTATTAGTGAAGACATTATGCTGTTGACCAGAGGATTAGTAAATCAGAAAATCAACACACGGTAAGCAGTCAAAATTTGATTAAGTGGTGCTTAAAGTTGAAGGTGAAAAACGAAAAATGGGAAAAATTCACTGTTTGAAATATTTCGCTATTCCGCTATCCAATGGAGTAGCTTAGCCATGATGGGAGAACCACCGAATGAAAAGCATGATTCCGGTATTGATGCTGAGTTTGATTTAAGACAGATAATAAATTGAATGGAATGAACTTATTAGGCAAAATGCCTTTTGATAATGATGATTTTATCAAGTTTAGCTTCTCAAATAATAACTGCTAAAATTCTGTGCATTAGTAGGCAAGACATCACGCATAGGACATAGACTGAATAAATAGTGACCAAGTTTACCAGATAATGAGATGTTCAGCCATTTACTATTAGGTACGAAATTGAATCGGCTTATAAATTTAACGATTTGTAAAATACTCTCCCCAAGTATATTAAAATGTGGTTATTTTATGCTGTTTGGGATCATTTACTGACCTTTATGATATTATTTTAACTAGTCCAAGTTGTTTGCAGAAGGACCAGGCAAAGTAAACAAATTTCAATGATAATGATGTGTACTTTTGCAGCCAAACATAATCTATATGCAAAACTTCAAAAAAATATATTACGAAAGGCAGAACAACCAATCAGGTAGTGCAGCGTCCCTAGGGAACGCATTCTCACCTCCCATGCACCAATCACACGACCCCACCTACCACCCCCAGCCAATCACTTGTCGCGGAACGTCTGTGCATACGCGCAACCAAGTGTAACCAGTCGATAGCTCTCCAAGCGCTAAACAGATAGCTCAGAAAGGGGAGAAAGAGGGAGAGAGGACAGTGGACAGGGGGTTCCCACTGGGAATTTGCCAACAACGACGACTGGCGTTTCATTTTTGATGAGCTTTCTTCCGCACATGTACGCACACACGTACGCACGCGCCTCTCTCCCCAGTGGCCTACAACCGCACCTGCGCACGCACAGCCAGATGCGTAGTAGTGTCCGCAGAAAGGGCAGTTAGCGCACAGCCCTACTTTATTCCTCTGCCATTTGCCCCACGGCACGTAGCGTATCTGTTACTGCTTCTACGGATAGAAGAACTCCTCTGAGAGCTTCCTACACCCACAGGGCAGTCGACTGTGCCGTTCAACTAGCAAGAGGGCGAGGAAGCAACACGGAAAGACCTTTGGGAATCGATACGCAAAGGTGCGCACAGACACACACACACACACGCACACGTCCGCATTGGTTTTTCGATTACCAGTGAAGGGGAACCACCAGTTTTGGGAAAAAAGGGGGTTTCCATAGGGACCGATCAACTTTAACTGACGAGGAACACTTCCCGTGGGAGAAGAAGGAAGAAAAGAGGGAGACAGGGAAGAAGGCGATTACAAAAGTAAGTGTAGTCAACCATTGATAAATAGTAGCTGAGCATGATTATTTGGTTTTTCAAATGACTTTGTAAGGTTTCAGACCGACAGAACAAATGACCGGTAATGTAACGCTTCCCCTACCGGTATCACATGTGTATGAAGTCTTGTCTATCTATTTTGAGCGAGAAGTCACAAATATGTGACACATACACTTTATCGGTTTAAACAAGTTGTGCTTTAAGAAAGTTGTGCCACAAACAAATTAATTGAGTTAAAGCATGGTGCTCTTAGTTTAAGAAGAATCGTAGTTGTTCAGCTAAACTCGGATTGATTGCTTTGGCATTTTAAGTGTTGCTATCCCTGAAGAAGTGAATTATCTGATTTAAGGTAATAAGTCCTACTTTAAGATTTTGGTCCTTTTAAAATATTGACTTACTGATCATTTTGAGATGTTGTCTGTTATCAAATATTCTATTTTTCACACCATCTGAACCATTCAATGTCAAAAACTAAACAATAATGGATTTTTACCTGCAAAAAACGGAAAAATTCCTTCTTGCTCAACTAGACTAGAAGGAAAAAAAGTATATGATATTGAAACAATTTAATTTAAATGTTGACTTTTGAGGGGTATGACAGGTCTTTATGTATATTTAATGACACTTTATTTCATATCACTGTTAAAATAATGCTGAATGAATTATAAATGATCAGAATACATACCTTTCAATGTCAGCAAACTTTCTAATTAGGAAATCTTTATGAACACCATGTAAAGTCTGATGTTTTGTTGATAAAAATACCATTGGTAGCTACCACATCCCAAGTGCTCAAGCCACCACTGAAGACGCCATTTGTTACACAAGTTTAAAGGTAGCTTTGTTATCAACGAAGAGGAGGACTGAAAGATTGATAGTTTAAAGGGCAGCACCAGCAGTACGCCATGACACAGACGTTGTGTCAGGATTGAGGTAGACTGACAAAGCCCTTGTGGACATCATTCTGTTGCAGTTTTAACGTACCACTTGGTAATCATCAGGGTGATACTATCTCAATTTAACTGCTTTAAGAGATTTGAAATTCCTTTTTAATTTATCACAATTAATTAACTTTATTTTTAGATGTTCGTCCAACATCCGCCGCATCTTCAGCAGCAACAACAAAGCCAAGGAGAAGATGAGAACGCTTTTTCGAATTCTGGTGGTCCAAGTACCGACCAATCACCTCTCTATCCCCATGGAGGTCGGAGCTACGCCACCTTTGGTAGCCAATCAGATGAGAGGGGTTACTTGACCTCTTCCGCAGTCACTGGCGATGAAGTGCTATTTACCTCTCCTGCCAGCCAATTCAACTTCGTACGCTCTTGGATTGCTCAACATCATCACAACCACAATCAGCATCATCACCAAAATGACGTTAATAGTGCTCACAGCCACCAATCAGAAGTTGGCTATCAGCCAGCAGGAGGGCTACAGGCTTACCCCCCAGTGGGCCATCAATTCAGCGCCCTCATTGACGGTAGTGGCGGTGGCACTGTCAGTGGATTCAGTCAAATGCCCACAGCAGCGGCATCTGCCGCGAGGTTCGGTATGTTCCAAGCCTCGGCTGGCGGAACCAGCACAGCGGCACCAGTTTCATCGATGACTGGGTACTCTGGGCTCTTTCCAAGGTTGGCGAGGTGGTTAATAATGTTGAAGGCTCCAAAGGCTTAGAAGGTGTAGTCGCACATCTTTTAGAGATCGTCGACCTTAATTTAGGAGACTGTAGGTTAGTTTAACTCAAAATACCTCGAAATATCTTTTTGAAGAAGTAATAAGCTTTTAACTCATTCCTGACATCTTGTAATACCTCATTTTTATATTTAGCTTAAATACAATATAGTTTTGCTAAAGGCGCTCCGTTATGTACTAGTCAGGACGGTATTTCAATGTATATATGCAAAACATCTGACGAGATGCCAACAGGAATGACGTGCCCTAAGGTAGTAATCAAACCCCAGAAGCAGAATAGTCTGTTTATTTGACGATTTCACGGTTGATAACCATTGCCAAATGTGGTTAATTGTGAATCCGAAAGTTCACTAAATATTTCAAACAATTGAAAGAAGTTCGACAACTTTAGAAAAAAAATTGCAAGGGGAGAGAAGTGAGCAGATAATAATTAGTGAGCAAATGCCATTCCTGCTCACCTACTCAACCATCTCTCTTGAGAATATTCACCAAATATTATACCGTGGAGGTCTGTATCTAGACTTCAAATCGGTTCTGCTCGACTATGGAAATTTTTTGTAAAAATTCCGCTTTAGAGGTTACCAATCTTCTCCTTTAGGTGCTCCCAACGGGGGGCCCACGCGGAGGTACAGTCGGCCAGGTTCGAGAAACAGCCACCGAACAATTTAAGGAAGAGCAACTTCTTTCATTTCGTCCTCGCACTCTACGACCGCAATCGCCATCCTGTTGAAGTAGAACGCGCCGCTTTTATAGATTTTGTGGAGAAGGAGAGGGTGAGACAAAGGGATAAGTATTTGGACAGTCTCATTTTGATTCGAACGTCGATCTCAACACCTAGATATAAGAGCAAAATTTTTTATACTTAGGCATGTTGCAAACGGAGTAGCTAAAGCCAAAACGAATGAATTGGAATTGACCGTGAGGTGAAAATGGAGATTTGGAAATAGCTCGTATTGTAGTGCCTCGGTTATTATACTTATTTCCCAAGTATGACTTATACGGTTGTCTTTCTTGACCCCGTTTTTCAAAACAGAAGCGTTGCTGTTAGCATCCAGTGTATAAAAAACCTTTAAACATTTGTCTTGATTTCATTCTTTTCTTGGCTTTCTTAATCACTCACCTACATTTCAGGCGCATCTTAGATTGTCATCAGATCTTCTTGATTCGTGGAGGTGTCGGACCTCCTCCTTAGTTATGACGCCTCGATAAGACAAAAATTCGAGCGGCATCGACTAGTGACACCGGCAGCAAACATGTTTAAATTGCCCTATCCAAATGATCTCCTTTTTATTCAAAATTAATGGCCAATCAAATATGATACAAAGAGATAGACTGCATTAATAGTAAAAACCCTATAGCAAATAGAGCATTCTAAATCGTTTTCGATCCCTAGAGTAGCTTATTGCCTTGTAATGTAAAATTTGTAAACCTGCAATTGTTAAAAAGTTATTTTGGCTTATTTCCCGAATTGTTATGATAGTGATTCAGGCAAAGGCTCTCTTCCACCAGGAATTGAGGATACATATGTTAAAAAAGTAGACCGTGCCCTTTCGGCATTAAAGCCCAACTTCAATAGGAATTTTTTAAGAATAACTACTATTACTGCTGACGTCGTCTTTTGACGCACTATTGCAGATTTATGGCCTCAGCAGTAATATTCGTTTCCACAGGCGACTGCATCTTGGACACAGAGCAATCTCACTAAATTAACTTCCACTTTCCCATGCCTTTTAATTATTAAAAAACCAATTGGAGGTGAGTGCGTGCGTCCATGCGCTAGCACGTGCGCACTCACGCGTGGCTCGAGGGCCAGTAGGAGGGGGGTGGGGCAGGCAGGGATAGCAGCGGTGCAGACTTTAATGAACTGCCGTCGACAGCACTAAGTCCATTTTTTGACCATTTGTATGACGTTCAGGCTGAGCATTTTGGGGGAGCAAGGGAGGGAGGACGGAGACGGGGGAGGTTGGTGTTGGGATATTGGGAGTTCATTAGAAGTAAATAATTCAATGGCTAGAAGAAGGCGAGAGGAAGAAAAGGGAGAAGGAGATACAGAAGGTTTGGAGGCAGTTAACCAACTGAAAGAAAGAAAAGACAGAAGTTTTGGCTTCTTTACTTCGAGCTTTTTTATGGAGGGTGAAATTCACTTGCCACATGGCACGACACCTCTGCGGCGTGGAAAGCGCCATTTTCATTAATATTCCTGTTATTTAAAGCCGCCAGACAATCTGGAGACAAGAATGTTAGAAATTCAAATAAGTTCTACAAATTTTTAATAAATGTAGTTAGGTACGAACGAAATTCTCCGGCTCAAGTTGTAACAATTAAGAGTAACTGATCAAATGCAGATCTGTTTGACGCCATAATTTGGGGGTTCATACTGTTGCATCGTTAACTTTCTGCTTTTAAGTAGGAACAAGAAAGCAAAATTTCTGTAAATGTTTCTGAAATTTTCGGATCTAGTTAGCAAAAAAACCAGTTTATCACATGCGATTTGCAAATTTAACTGCCAAAATCCAAGGCACACTTTTCTACTTAGAACCAATATAAGTAGAGAAGCCCGTTTAGTAAAAATTCCTATGTTTAATTTCCTTTTGCTATTTTAAACCAGCCTCTGTTGACCAAAGAACATAATATAAATACCATTTTAAGGAAAAATAAATTATGCCAAGACAGTCAGATGCTAACTGCGAGTTAGAATGCTTAAATCTACGCTTCCTTCAAGTAGTTTTATTACTACCCTTTAAAAATTTTTTTTAAAAAAACACAGCGATTTAAGTAAAATTTGGAATAAAAATTTACGAAAATGAGCCAAATGGTATTAAAATTTGGTGAAAGAATGAGTTATAATACAACGCCTTCCTATTAAGACTATGCACAGGCATCCCAGGAACGTTATCACTCAAACCCTTCTAACTATATAATTGTAATTTTCAAATGAGTTTACTTTACGATAAATTATCTCCTGTGCGTATCCTTCATAATTTTTAAATGCTTTATTAACAGGAGCCGGATAGCGAGAAGACAAATAACGGGATCCATTACCGTTTACGTCTGCTCTTGCCAAATGGTAAGTCTTGCTTTGGGCAGATTCGATCAACTAGAGCTGCCCAACTTTGGACATTCATTTAAGCGTTTCCATACTACTTAAAAGACATTAGACAATTAAAATTCGCAATAACGTTATCTGCCACTTTCTCTGCAGAGGCATTCACGGACCATTTAATCTCATTCCAGAAGAGGCCATTCACCTGGAAGCAAATTTAATGGCCTTTTTAATTTATTTTTCTCTTGTAGGCTTCCAACAAGACCAGGATATCTACGTGAGACTGGTGGATTCCTCTAATAAACAGGTTTGTCATTTCACAGGAGCATATAAGAGTCGCTCAAGCTAACCCGAGACTGTAGAGTTTTAGAAGGTTAAATGAAGAGCAATTTTCAAGGCGCAGAAACCGCTCTTGTTTTTCTTCATACTTCCCTGATGCACTTATATAATCCTCCGAGTTTTAAAATAGCATCAGGTAATCTTCAACACAAAAAGATTTGTCATCGAAGCTGACGGAAACAAGTCAGCCTGCTTCACTTCGTCCTAATGCTTAATGTGTACCAATTTTTCAAAATTGCAAGTTTTCGTGTTTACGGACTGCTGTGTTCACAGTTTACACAGCAGGATTTGTCTCTTTTGCAATGTCTTCACGGAACGGACTTGTTGTATGTCAGTAAGCAGTGCGGAATCAGGTGAGGATGTTCCATGGGTTGGCTAAATGTTCACAGAAATGAAAGCACTTCCATCATTTAAATACCTTACTCCTAAATAGATGAGCTTACCACCACTGTAGAATACTGCGATGGTAGTCTTCTATGCTAGTGGACATCTGCTAGTTCGGATTTGATGCCTTTATTAAGAGGAAAAATTCTGCGTGGACCACTTGCTACTGAATGAGGTTGCTATTTTAAGTAGTATCAACACACTTGTCTTTTGCCAGCTCATTTGATACTACCAATTTGGCATCTTTGCCTCTACGATACATCCTGTTTTGACTTGAATGGAGGGTATATTTTTATAGGCGCTCTTTTTCTCAACACGAGGTTGACTTTCTCCTTTCAGCCAATCGCCTATGAAGGTCAGGATAAGAACCCCGAGATGTGCCGAGTTCTGCTTACGCATGAGGTGATGTGCAGTCGATGTTGTGACAAGAAGAGTTGTGGCAATCGTAATGAGACTCCTTCTGATCCCATAATCATCGATAGGTGAGCCTACTTAAAGCAACTTTGTCGTATCCCAAGCCATTCCATAAAGGAAGAAGAGTTGTCATTAGCGTAAATAGGAGACTGTAACAGTAGACGTGGATGATCTTACATAGCATCAAAATGGTGAGTGAAGAGCTAGCGCATTTCTTTTTATCATCATAACAAATGTCCTCTTCTGAGCCTCCTTCACCCTCCGTGGTCGCTCGACTGCTTCGGTCGAGGGAAGCAAAATGATGCATTCACAAATTCTATTTAGTTGGAAGAGAAAATGTATAGGAAAAAGCAAAGTTTTGAAAGACATTCAAAGGAGAACAAATTCTCTATGTTGATCACATTTTATAGGAACGCGTACTTAAAGACAAAGGGTATCATGTCCTCAGGCTATGATGTTTTCACAGACAAAGATGATATTTAAAATTCTTCTGATTACTTGAACTCGATTTGAAGGTGCTGGACACACCGAAAACCTTTCCGTTTGGCCTCCATGGATCCAGCCACCCACCGCAGGCACCTTTCTTCCATAAAGTCTATTCTTGGTATTCGGTCAACGAAATGAGCATAGTTGTTCAGTTGGATTAAGTTCGTACACCTATGGCAGCAATTTATCAGCCTAAGTTATTCCAGTATGAAATCTGGCGTAGTATTCGTGGATTGAAGGACTGAAATGTTGTACCATGGCACGAAGATTGTGACCATTCCATGTAGACTGAAGAGCTTCTATAATTAAATGGTTCAGCCAAACAAATATCGCTTTACCATAACCTCATATCAGCATCTTATTGACATATTCTGAGTTCCAGCCATGGTCCGCTACATGTTCTAACTGACCACATCCAACGGAATCTTTCATACTGCGTCAAGGGTAAAGGTTGAGTGCAGGAAATTGTTTTATCTGTAGAAGAATACACAATCAAAGGCGTGCAAAGGTGTGGGAAACTTTTGCCGTACCTGCATATTTTATTTACGGGGGTGGAAGAATGATTGTTTTTTTTTCATCCTAATCGCCCTCAACACCATTCGTTACATTGAGGAGGTGGAGGAGGGGGGAATGCGCGTTCAGATGCTCAATAACTTGCGGCTTCGAGCATCGACACCCGCTGCGATGGTTAAAGAAGGTGAAGGGAAAGGGGAGCATTGGGGAAAAGTCCCGCAAGCAGCTGCAGGCATGTCCCAGGTGGCATATGCCAAGGTGTATCGAAATGTAATTGTATAATTGGTCGTTCGGTCTATTAGCCAGCCAGACATTTCCCTTTACACCTACAAAGTCATTCAGCAAGACAAGTTTTATTCTACCAGCGTTAAGCAGTATTTTTCCGTGGTCAACCGCAATAGTTCTTATTCCCATTTGGCCCAAAATGATAACCCCATGAGCTCTAGATATATCGTAACCAACTAAAACTGCTTTGGGAAGGATTGAACTATTTCATCCCACCTGCAACCAGCGTCACATATGTGTGACGTTCCAACTTTCTTATATAAGCTCGACACGTGGCATTTTCTTCATCTTCCCATAATGGATGGTCGAGCCAAATAGTAGCATAATCAGGTTGTCTAAATGTTCTTGATCTGAAAACGGCACTACTTTTTTAGCTTCAGAGCGGCAGTTGAATGGGTCAAAGAAATTAATGGGCAATGATGCTATATTAGAGCAATAAACCACCCGAGGCGTGGTAGTAACATTTCACTTTTGTGAACACCATGCAGGTGGTTGAAAGAGCCCGTATAATTTAATAACTGGTCACTTGCATTGCAACAGGGGATTGTTGATAAGCCACGTGGGGAGGGGAATTAACTGTTTGTATTTTCTCACCCATAAATTTGTTGCCAACGCCACTGCAGTTGAGGGCAACCCTAGTAACCGTATGGTCGCCTTATTCAATTAAAACATGGTCATTTAAAACCCATTTACACAACTTTAGGTATTTCCTCAAGTTTTTTATGAAATGCAATCAAAATTGTCTGAAAAACGCCGGAAATCCGAGGGATATGAGGAGATTTCAAGTGAGTTTTCCCCTGATTTATTTTAAACTCCGATTTTCACATATCTACTGACTCAAACGCTTACTTTGTCATTATTTTTAAAATCGGTAGCATTATATGGGAGAATATGATTTCTTACCATTCAGATCAAGTTGATTCAGATTAATGCTTTATAAAACAGCCTTTCACAATTTAGGTTGCGATTGCGGCTACACCATCACTAGAGGGCAGTTTGTTGGCCTTTTCTGACAATATGTTTGTCCACAACAACTCTAAACATGGCAGACGCGTCCGTCGTATGGAACCGCCTGAAGAATGTGAGTTGTAGCGCATTTCTTCCTGAACAATAAAATATGTAATAAAGCAAAACTAAAAAGTTCAGTAAAAATGTACACTTAAAATGCAGATTTTGGGATGTTTTACGCTTGAGGAGTTGGAGGAAATCATGTAATTTAAAGCCCAGAGAGCCAGGCCAATAAGGGTACGAAAAATCGATTTTACCGCTAGCTACTTGTATTAAATGAAAAAAATCAATGCATCGATAAATCGATATGCACTGCAGCCTAAGCACGGCGTTGGCACTTTGGCCATTTGGGGACACATGGTAAGTCACTATTAGTTTTTCGCGTTAGGATTTTCCTATTTTTTTCTAAAAATGAACCCAAGGCTTACCTAGAGAGGGCTAATTTCAAGAGGTTGCCCTAAGACCATTATTATTAACCACGATTTATTTTACTCTGCGTAATGTGGACACTATTACTTTATAGCTAAAACATCAAGGTCTTTGGAAGCACCCTAGGGGTTTACCATAGTTCCGTCCGCACGATGTGTCAAAATTCAATTATAGGCTGTCTCTGGCACTACTACTGCCTTAGCCACAACCACCATCACAGCTCAATTGTTGACACATTTCAGCTAACTTAACCTCCCCCTTTATCCCCCTCCCCTTCACACATTAGGCAGAGGAATTAGCCATACCCCTTGCCCTGTGGGACTTCTCTCCAAAATTAGTCGGCAGCTCTGTGAGGTAAATAAGCTAAAAGAGTAGCGGGAAAATCGGTGTCAGAGGAAGATTCACATTAACAGGGGATAGGTGTTTTCAGTCAGTTATTATTCATTTATATAGCTAGTAAACATTTATGCGATAATTCTTTAGATTTCTACTATTCAATTGGAATTGTTATAGGTTTAAATGAGATTTAATGATTGGAACGATATACCGTATTCACTCTCAATGCACAACGCCTCTCACGATAATCACTTTGTGAATATCGTTAATTAAGGCTGCTCCTTTTTTATTTTCAAGAGAAAAAACTAATCTTGTAGTGTATGTGCATTGTTTTCGATGCGAAATACCTGCAATGTCAAATCAAAATTTGATAATCAGCTCGAGAAGCCAGCATCTCGAGATTAAAGAATTTCAAAAAATTTCCCCGTACAATTTGTGAAGAGATGAGGTTGAGCGCTCAGTGTTTTGCTGCCGCTGCTGCTGCTACTGAGAATTGGAGCAATAAAACCGCTTGCAATTAATTTTGAGATTAGTGGGGCGGAATAAACCGAGAGCTCTCCTCTCCCCCTTTCTCATCCTATTTTTCAATAAAACCAAGCTAGAGGCAGGGGTCCAGTGACAAATAAATTGACTCCTCTGTTGACCTCGTAAAGAAATTGAATTTGTGGGTACTTTAATTTCGTTTAATTCGAAAATTTGCTCCTTTTGGCCCTTTTAATCTGTTTGTAGAATGGTCTGGTTGCCAAAACTTGGAGATATCACTTTACTGTTGTCAAGCGGAACATGACCCAGCGTTTATGCGTGGTCTTATGTTTATGGTCAGGTTACTGCTCGTGTCACAATTTTACCATTTTATTCTAATTTATTTTGCCATCAGCGCCAGATATAAGTGATTCCCTGATTTTCTTATGTGAGTCTGGCGCCAACAATGCCTGACTTGGGTCCCGCATCAGTTTATGGTCCCTGTTCGCATTAAATTTGTGGCAAAAAGATGAAAGGTTGCAAACAATGATAAAATAGATGTAGAATGATTCCGTTCGGAGGATACTTAGATTTGGTTTTTGAGTAAGTACAACTGCAGGCAGACATTTTTTAGCATAACCTGTTTTTCCCCTCCAACGATTAAAGAAAACGTACTGTAGAAACGATGAAGGATTGTCAGTAGGCCATCGACTAATTCTCCACTTTGACACACGATTTATTCCCTTATTCGAAAATTGGTTTCTGATGCACTCTTAATAAGGTCTCTCGGGTGTTAGTCTCTGGAGTAATAAAATAAGGTGAATCGGCTCGGATTAGGAGGGAATTGTGGTAACACAATGAAAACTGGAGGAATTCATAGGCAATATTTTAAAAAACAATAATATTTTATGTAAAATGAGATGATACTTTACTAATTTAGTTTAAAGATCCCTCTTGTGTAAAGAGGAATAAATATTAGACTTGCAGATAAAAGAATAACTAAAGCAGTTTATCTATTTGGGCGAAAAAAGACGACTACACTTTCAAATTACTTCATACCCAACTTTACTGATTTTAGTAGTTCCTACAGCGCCTCCTATAATCAAGGCAATTTCGCCCAACGAGGGTTGGACCAGCGGTGGCGAGAGTGTAATGATAATCGGGGAAAACTTTTTCCACGGTCTCCAAGTGGTTTTTGGAAATACACCGGTCTGGAGTGAAGTAGGTGGCTATCTAGATGCTTCAGATGCTGTTACCATTGAGATTATTAATATTACCGTCGCTGGTCTTGTAGCTCATCACTCCCAACGCTCTACGGGTCCAGACACCGGCGAGGTCTGCTCAGGGTGTTGTTGAGGTCTCATTGCTCTTCAACAATCGACCCTTCTGTAAGCATGCACCAGGCCGCTTCGCCTACACTTGTGAGTGGTCCTTGAAATCTTTGATAATATGGTTATTTGGTTTATTATAAGTCAAAAGAGAGGCAATACAGGTCCGAATTATGGTTACTGCTTGGTCCCCTTATGCAATAGTCATGTTTCATTCATGTATAAGCGGTTAGTAGTCAATAAGAAATGGTAAAACATCCTTTTAGTTAGGCAGAAAGGGAGACCGACAGGAGGAGGAAAAGACTTTGTAGACGAGTGGAATATAGATAGAGACATGGACGGATAGATATATGAATACAGATACAATTGGAAGATTGAACAGATGGATGGATGAATGGATGGGTCCTAATTTTGATGGTTAAATAAAGTAGAGGGATGGATAGAATGAAAAATGAGTGAAATTGGAGTGAAAGAATGGATGGTAGAAAGAATGGATAGATGAATTCTAGATGGACATAGTGATGGACGATGATGATGGATAAGTGGATAACTAAGTGAATAAGTGGATGGTGAAATGAAGAATAAATGAATAAATTTGAGGCTTTGGATGGACCGATGAATAAAGGAATAGTTGAGTGGACAAGTGAATTAAGGATTAACGGATAAGTGAAAAGTTAGTGGATGGTCCGATTGATTCGGGAAGGACAGTGGGTTGGTGGATGGATGAATAAATGGGGCAATAGAGTGGTAGATGGGTGAGAGGATTGAAGGAAAAGTGTAGCTAGAGCGCTGCTAAGTTTTACTTCCAGATGCAATAACACCTAGCTCTCAATGATCCCACAATCGAATACGGTTTCCAACGTCTCCGAAAGATTATTCCTCGCCACCCGGGAGATCCAGAACGTCTGCCCAGGGAAATCATTCTCAAACGCGCAGCCGACCTCGCTGAGGCCCTCTATTCCATGCCTAGTCGCGCTGCTGCAGCTGCTGCTGCCGCCGCCGTCTCTTCCGCGTCCGCCGCCGCCACCCATCACTTGCCGATGACATCAGCACCACCTCCACCCACCCTGCCACACCCTCCGCCACCCTCACATTCCCTGTTAGCAACCCACATGCATCCGCCACCGCCAGCTCCCGGCCACTACATCACAGAGGCAACTACGGGATTTGGAATCCTTCCACACTACCATCACCACTCCCTTGAAGTCTCCAAGAGCAATCAGGAGGTGGTGCATGTTTCAAAGATGCTTCAAGAAGCGCATAACAGCACTAGCAGTGCTGCCACCTCTGTGACATCGGAAGGGGAGGAGGAGGAAGAAGGGGAAGGGGAGACGAAAGCGACAGGTAGGAGTCCCCTAAAGGTGGTGGAGGGGAGACACGAGGGTGAGGGTGAATCAGGGGGCAGACTTTGGCCCAAGCGACCCCGGTTTGAAGTCAACAGGGGCCAAACAAGTGGATTAGGAGAGGTAAGTTGTGCGGTTTTCTGATGTCATGACATTTTTGAAGAAATTTTCAGAAATAAGAGAATTTCGGGTATTTTGGGTAACACGGGGTACTTAATTATATTTAGTAAATGAAGATTCCTATCATAGCAATGAGTAATGTTTGAAGCTGTGATAAAGCTTGAGCCCAGGAATGACTGCTTTTACACACGAAAGCCTTAAAAACTAGTGGTAAATGAAATTGGATCGCTGGAGGCTGAAAATTTCGATCTAATCTAGGTATCAATTACAACAGACATCGCAACACATTTTCTCCCGTTTCTACCATCATGTCTTCCATTAAATTGAAGTTAATTTTAAGAGTGGAACGAAGGCGATTTGATGGATCTGCACTATAGTGAGAACCTCTTAATTGCATTTGTAGCATTGCATAGTCGGAATGTGTCTGAAACTCCTTACAATAGCTTCTTTTGTTGGTTAGATTGCATTGACCACGGGTAGATCTGGACGATTTCCCAGAGCTACAAGATGTCATATAAAATGTGGCAACTGATTTCCTTAAGAGCATCAGCCCAACATCAAAATTCTGAAAGGGTCATTATGGCCTCATCCCGTTTTAAGAACGATTCATAGCCATGTCAAACCTTGTCTCGCTTCGTTATTAACCACAATAGAGAATACATGCGTCGGTTAGTTACCACAAACAGACGCATTTTTGATAGCCCTCTTGTTGAGTCTTCACAGATCCCACAACCCACACCAGATACCTCCATTCCGTGGCACTTTGGTATCACCTAAAGTCAGAGCTGTATACCAGTTATTTCTGAAGATGCTATAAAGCGCATCATTTTGGAAAGTGGTCATGTGGCAAATGCACAGGAAAGGTGAAGGAATATTAGCATAGACAAAACCAAAGGAGACCGAAGGATTTTTTTCGCTTTAGGAGGCAGCGGAGACATATGAGCCTCGTGAGCATTCGGCAAATGTGATATTTAGTAACATGGCACTTCTGACAACAGACGCGGAAATGATGACCACTTCATCCAGCTCTGCTGTCGCTACCGCTGCCGCCACGTCGACGTCGAAGACTTTTGAAAACACCTCAACCTCCACCTCGCCTACCAATAACAACAAAGGTGACGGGAGCAGTGGGGCCAACCTGGCAGCCAGTCTATCGAGAACGCTGTTTCAAGAAAGAGGTGTGGGAGGTGGACTCTACGGAAATGAATACTTTGGAGGCGTCACCGCAGGAACGGATGGTACCACCAACTACAATTCTCAATCATCCGTAAGTTGAAAGGACCTTGTAAAGGCATCCTGCTGACCAGCAAAAACTAATAAATTTCTTTGTGAATAACGTCGGAAAAATCAAAAACGCTGCTGTTTAAATAGATTGTTGCAGATAAATTTAGGTCAAGATGCAAAAGCTACAGTGGTAGCAAGTCCTTAAGAACTGGAAATTTCCTTATCTTTAATTGCAGTGCAGGATACCTTAATATTCTGTTTATCTAATCCATTTTATCGAAAAGTTTAAGTATAGAAAATTATATTCACGCCATTGTTTATTTATTGCATAGATCGGGTCCGATGGACATTGAGTGGACGGGCTAATTCCACAGCAAGTTCGAAATACAATGATCAAGTATATTATGGGAATATTTAAAAATAAAAATATAAAGGATTTCGCCTATTTCAAAGAGTAAATTAATTCGAATCAAAATTATGCGAAGGTAATTGCGGCATTCCAAGTCTTTCTCGAAATTGGAAGGAGTCATGGCGCTCTCCTCTGATCAACATTTCGCGTCAATCATCCCAAAGTGGTCGTTGCTGTAAGAAAATCACCCACAAACCAATCACGCAAGTCGCCGACTTTGTGTACAGCTGAGAAGATAGTTGACTGCAACGTCACTGACTCGCCTTGACAATTCCACCGGATCTTGAGCTTCAACCTGCTTTGGAAGTGTGTCGGGGAAAGGGGGGGAAATCGTGCTGGCCATCACGCATGTCTATCACGAGTCGTAAGAACGTTGGTCTAAAAGCAGCTGGTTAAAAACGATTTTATAGGAATGATGTTTCACATCTGTTCCTCCTTGTCACTTTGTTCACACTTCAGTGTAGCTCAGCCATAGCTATCTTGGTCCTGTCCGGCTAGTAGAGAGGTGGAGGTATCGCGTCTTCACTTAACACCCTCATACCGGTACCATAGATAGCTTCGTAAGGAATTTTTTGGATGGATTACGGCCATAACCAGTGTCGTCTTAGTTGTTAAAGCCATTCCTGTAGAACTCAGGCCCGGTGTAGTTCTCGGAGGTTAAGGGCGTTATTCTAAGCCCTTTTGTTGAGGATCACCGCTGTAACTTCTGCCACTCCAAAGCTTAGCATTTAGTAATAGGAATTAGGGTAGTTGCCCTTTGGGATCAAGCTAGCTTTTCACCACTACCAATGTAGCACTCTGGATCTTCCCTGAGAACGAAGGAATTTTTAATATTAGGGCAGAAATGCATTGCTGGTGTGCAGAATAGCTAAGGGGCTACTGGCATAACTCGGAGGTCGTGCCGCCCAGCGCAAGTCCAGAGGCGAGGCCTCAATTGAAGGCGAGACTGAAATAAAGAGTTGATCAAGCAATTAAAGTATTAAAATAAAAGCAATAAAAAAGGCCACTAGGTTATTCTTTTCTTATAATTTTTAGAACTGGACTCCTTTCGAATCGACTCACTGATTTCTGCCCCGGAGAAGGTCGATAGGCTGTGTTACGGCTCATCACAAAATATTTTAATTCTCTCCCCCCCTTCCCTTTACCCCAACCTGTTCAACGCCCTTCCCTCGTTTTATGCTCTTTTTAAATAAAATTACGTAATTTAATATATAAATGCCAAATAGAGGAGAGTTAACCCGCATTTTCAGCCCATTTAGTGGCTGAACGACAAGCTACAAGTCATTGTGGTGTGCATGAAATATCACGAGTCTTTTCCCTGCAAAAAGGCCCTACTTTGGTGCCCCAATTCTTCGTTGAAGGTGAAAGACGACAATACTGGGGCAGAATATGTATAGCAGGCCTTCAGATGGGCTGGCTGGGGACTACCCGCGTGACCTCGGAGACCACACACCCCTGGGGAAGTACAATGCACGCGAAACCAAAACAAAGAGGTAAACAAATAATCAAAATGATACACCATTAAGCGCTCTATAAATTAAATTAAAATGACCCTAGGTGAAGTCAAAGTCCAAATCTCCAAATTTGAATAAACCACAGTACCTCGTTTTCAATTAATGTCCTAAAATGTGCGAATTATTTTGATAGACCACCGCTCATTAACATAACTGGGAAGGGGGAATCGGAGATAAAATAATTGTGGAATATTACACCATTACTTTATCGCATTATTCCCAGAGGAGGGACTTGTTGTCTCCACTGGAGGGATTATAGAGAGGCTGGTATGAGTCACCTGGCTGGGGATATATATGTCCAAGCTAAAAGTGTGGCAACCAATTAGAAGAAAATTTACGCCTTTTTATGCCCATTTTAATGCTTACCTTTGCACATGCATTGTGCCTTGGTAATTTAAATACTAGGACTTAAATTGCAATGCAGGAGAATGTTTATGTGGATGCTTATTACCCTGCCCTAAGCTGAAGGAAGTTAAGGAAGATTTGGGCAATTGAAAGTAATTATTTATACTAAAGTCCTCTGTTAATTTAAAGTTGTTTATCAAAGTGGTGTAGTAGCGATTTGAAAGCAACGAAAGAATTTAATTGCTTTAGTAACTTAAAAGAGTAATTACAGGTATGTAATAAATGGATATCTTTGCTGTATTGCCAAATAAATAAAAAGAACAAACACAAATGCTGATTTATATTAGTTATTTGTTTAGCTCTTTGCTGACTCTGCGCGGGTACTTAAGGCCCGGGTTCGTACTTTAGCGGGCTACTTGCATGGCCTGGAGGTCGGCCCACCCGGCGCTGGCACAATGATAGAGACCCAAAGCGACCAATTTTGCTAAAACCAAGGTTAAACAACCAACACATTACCTGTCCCCTCTCCTTTTTGAGCATCCTCCCCGGCCTTTCCTTAGTCAACTTTCCGCGTCAGCTATCACAACTTACTCGGTGCTGCGAGAAAAACGTCAGCAAACAAACCGACCCAGTCATCAAATTTGCGTACAATTGAACAGACATTTGACAGCAACGCCACTGATCCCTCTTGGCAGTTCCGCTGGATCTGGAGTTCCGACCTGTATGGAAACTGGATTCGGGGTCAGGGAATGTGGTGGACATCACACGTGTCCATAGCTAGTCGTGGGAACACCAATCCGAAAGCAGAGTTATACAGCATAAAATGGGGTAAAACATAGTTCTTTGGGGGTATAATTTAGCACTCATTCCTCCTTGCCACGTTGCTATCCAGCCATACCTATCTGGGCTCTATCCATCTAGTAGAGAGGTGGAGGAGGCATCACGTTTTCACTTATTTGATGTCTTTATAGAGGTATTCTCCCAGGTGGTTCACGGCTAGTGTTGCTTCATGTGTGATTAGCATCCATGTAGAGCACAAGACCGGGGTATTTGCCAAAGATGGAAGTCATTTTCAGCCCTTCTGTTATAGATTGGCACCGATCCTCTCGTCTGCAGCATATGCGCTTCTTCTGCTCCGCTAAAGCTTATCACTCGGCAATAGAAATCCAAATAGCGGTCCTTTAAGATCGGGTTTGCTTCTCGCTGTTACCAATGTGATGCCCCAAGGCTTCCCTGAAGACAAAAGAAGGCATAATTACTCGGAAGGAATATCTATGTATCTGAAATACGTTAGGGCTTGGGGCTACTGGCACGTCTCGGAGGCTGGCTCACCTGTTGAAGGCACAACGGCGGAGAGCTGAAGTGGCCGTTTTACCAAAACAGAGGCAAACAGTTGACGCATAACAGTTTCATCTTGACGGATAATAAACAATCTTTACTTATTCTTATAAGTAAAATAGAGTATGACACTCCAAGTTTAACGATACGATAATTTGGTTAACTATGGGTTTATCTACTTGGTCGCTTCCGTCTCCACAGGTTGTATTTTCGCTCTGCAGCCTGTGCCTCGGATAATGCTAGTGGCCTACCAGCCCTTCTATATGCTATAAATATATCTTTCTTCATGGAACTTTGACTTTACGAACTCGGCAAAGGCTCGGTTAATAACATACGCTCTTCGTCAATGTCAAATTAATTTAAGCGGCTATTAAATTTGCAATGCCAAGGATAGGCAGAATGAGAACATAGTTCATGAAAAAACATGACTACAAATAGTTAACCTGAATGCAAAAACCTGAGTTTATTTCATTGATAATTTATGTAATACTTATGTTGTTTTAATGT